GCCATTGATTACAACACTCACCCTTCCTCCTCGCCTTTCGTTTCCTTGAAACCTCTTTCTCAAGGCGTGACGAAAGACAGAAGTCCACAGTGGTTGGCCTCACCAGAACCGAGACCATGAAGGGGGACCGGTTGAGATCAGACTTCCAGGCCAGGATCGGCAGCAGCTCTAAAGACAAGGGCCGATAATGGGGTAAACTAGCAAACAAAATCTGGTTTTATAGGCAACAGGGCACATCAGCAGGCCTGCTCTAGCCTCTTGGGCTTCCGGAAGCATCCAAAATGGGCGTGGCAGTGCAATCTCCTTGCAGTCCCTTCTTTGGCCTGCAATGTGTGAGAGAGGTGTTGCTGCTTTGGACAAGACTCGCAGTGGTTCCCAAAGTCGGGTCCCCAGATGTAACTCCCAGAAGCCTTCACTGCTAAGGGTGCTGGTCAGGATTTCTGGGACTTGTAGTCCAAGGACATCTGGGTTATCCAAGGTTGGGAAACACTGGACTAGAGGGATTTCACTCCTTCTGGTCATGAGTTCAAGAGCTGATGCCAGGATTGAGCCTGCCCTTAGGTGGAAAGGGGGAAGCTGCTTTGCATGGTTTGCTGTGCTCTGACGTGGCCTTTACCACTCAGTAGAGGTTTCTGGGTTCTGGAAGCTCCCTAAATTTCGTGGCAGATACAATGAACCTGGTAACTCATAGATTAAGAAATTGCAAGATATGTTGTCTGCTTTTTTTTGCATGCATCATTGCTCTGAAAATAATTCTTCCATGCTCAGGTGATGGGGAAAAAGGTATGACCTGGGCAACTGCTACCTCCTCAGGGATCATTTGAGCTGGCAGGGAAGGATTTGCTTCCTGTCTCAGGTGTTAAAGAGTTCTGGAGCCATTCCTGACCGAATGCAGTCCAGTAAGCAGAAGAGTTCTTTAAGGTGAGGTCAAAAGATTCTGCTTGACAGCAGCCTGGGAGCAACAGTCACGCTTATTCAATAGCACTTTTCAAACACTTGAAAGGTAAGCGATACAGAGGAGGAGCAGGATCTGTTCTTAATCATCCCAGAGTGCCAGACACAGAATAATAGGTTTAAGCTACAAGAAGCCAAATTTCGGCCAAATATCAGGAAAAACTTCTTAACTGTTAGAGCAGTACAACAATGGAACCCATCACCTTGGGAGGTGGTGAGGGCTCCCAACGTTGGAGGTAACTCAAGAGAAAGTTAGACAACCACCTGGCAGATATCCTTTGGTTTGTATTCCTGCACTGGCCTTATAGTAAGCCCCTTCCAACTTCACTTTTCTGTGATTCTATGATCTACTGTGTGGTCTCTTGCTTTTTGCTGCTACCCAATGATCCTTCTTCTTCCTGGAAGCCCCATGCAGGCCATCTTGATGTGGTCCCTGATTTTCCTCCCACCATTTCCACGAAACTCTCTATTCACCTTATCTTCAGCCACAACAAAACTCTTAAGCCTGCACAACTGTATCTGCTGATGGGTACCCCCTTGTTGCCGTTAACCCTCGATTTACATGCATAGCTTTGGCCCGCTTGTCAAAGTCTGGGCTGTCATCTCCTTGAGGCAAGGACCTGCTTTTGTGTTGCTAATGCCATGAAGTCGTTGCCTACGTGGTCGGCCCTGTATGCATAATAAAATATGGAAATGCCCTGTATTGCAAAATCAATTCATAAGGCGGCAATTATGCCGACAGATGCAAGCCACAATTACTTTTGTATATGTGAATGTCAGGAAGATTTGATTGAAAACCATATTTTGGGGGGCTGGGAAATGAAACAGCTTGAGTCCGACTTACTGTGTGTCCCGTGGCAGTTATGGCTGACAGTCAAATCATTACACTGTGCTCTAAACAGCTGTACTTGGAAGTCCGTACAATAATAATTAGAATTATTGTTCTTCTTCAGAAATAGGAACAAGCTGGGATTGGACTTCCCATTCAGAACAGTTCTGTGTAATTGCAGGCTGCCTCTTTTGATAATTATTGGCTCGTGCACACTGAAGAGTTTTTGCAGCACAAGCTATTTTCTTATTTAAATCTTCTGCCTCCAAATATTTGGGTGGACTGTCAGCTCCGGCGCTCCCTTGAGATCTTGCTTTCCGCTTCTTCTTGGAAGGGAAAAGTTGACGTTGGAGACATTGCCCAGCAGGCTAACTCACCCAAGGTCAGCTCTGTTAACTCACTCAAGACACATGGGAAGATGCTTTGAACTTTGAACATGGGTTTTATTTTATTACAAAAATATCTTGCAAGCGAAAAACAAAAAAACAAAACAGAACCCAAAACGTAAGGTGCGATTTGTACAAACAGTCAACTAATTTTTTTTTCACAACAAATTTCTCCCACCTTCTTCATTTTTATCCCTCTCTCTTTCATCCCACTTCGCTCCCTGCAAAACCAGGGCCAACCGATGGGGCTACATAAGGTGGGCTCAACGCCCCACCGTCCCCCCTGGGCTGGTACGGTCTCTTCCACCCCATGGTACCATTAAGCTTTCATGTATTCCGATCGAATACCACCAAGGGAAGGAAACAAGGTAACAGTTGGGGGTTTGGGAAATAAGAGGATTGATTGACAGGCATGAAATCCCTGTCTTATCTGCTGGGCCAAATTTACTATTGAGATCAACGTACCAAGTAAAAGAAGCAGCATGATACTGGACCAAAATGGCAGCCACGGCTAAGCCTCCTATCTTTTGGCCAGCATTTTCTTAATGACCAACCAAAGGAGTGTGGCAGAAAGGAACGCCACAGCATCCGTGGCTTAGCTGGACGTGCCTTTCCAGAAGGGAAAGAAGGGACATCTGATAGCCATTTTGGGGAGAGGTTGACTGCTTGCTGTAACATCTTTTGCTTCGCCCCTATGGTTCAGCAGATTGGATAACTCCAGTGAAGTTATGACTAAAACCTGGAGCAGATTCCCTGCCCCCATGAACCTGGAGTCATCAGCCACCCCTCCACTGACAATCAATACTGCATTTTCTTATGCCTAGTGTAGGGAAGGACCTAGAAGCAGATGGCTGGTGGGATTTGCTTTTCTAACATCAGGACAAGATGATGGAGGAACTCGTATCTGGGACTGTATTCACACATCCCATAGCCTTGTCTCCCCTTTCTCTTATTTTTTTCCTCCTGGGACATCTTTTCTATCCATATTCTAAACCATCCAAGCAGGAAGGTGGTGGCTGAAAATCTTCAGCAGTTCCAAACTGTTTCCTTTACACCTGTGGTTCCCAAACTAGGTGTTCTTGGACTGCAATTCCCAGAAGCCTTCGCCAACATCTGTGTTGGCTGGGGTTTCTGGGAATAAATAATAATAATCTTAGAACCGCAGAGCAGGAAGGGACTCTATGGATCATCAAATCCAGCCCTTCTCAAGGAGGCACTATGGGGAATCGAACTCCCAACCTTTGGCTCGGCAGCTGAAGACCTAACCCACTGAGCCATCCAGCAGCTGCAGTGCCTCGGTTACCCAAGACTGGGAACCACTGCTTTACATTCAGCTCCCAAAGAGGAGCTGCGCTTCTGTCTCAAAATGCCATCACAGATGGGTCTTTCTGGCCAGCAGCAGGATGTTAAGAGATCCATGACTGCTCCAGGGTGGACCAGCTGTTCAGTGGATCAATAGCCACTCAGCTGTACGTACATGTCAGAAGACACGAGAAGGGCCAGCGAGAACTGGCCCCTTTTGCCAACAATGCAATGCAAAATATCCCCCATGCCTCCATTTCCTCCGAGTTTTGATCACCTTTACTTTGGATCTTGAAACCAACTGGAGGCCGAGATGGAATTCGAACCACGGGCAGAAGATCCGCGGGAAAGCATTTGGAAGACACCGTTTCTGTAGCACTGCCGGTTCCCGTTTACGTCCTTCCTCTTAGGCCTACAAACAGTTAGTTCCTAAACGGCATTATAAGGAAGCAAAACAGAGCCACGAAACTCAACAAATCAAGAAAAAGGACAAAAAAAGATGAGAACTTTTGGTTACTGGCAGCAGGAGTCACAGAGGGTTCGTTAAGACGTCTTGGTCATGGAGATCGGACTGTTTAAGAGGTTTATTTCTTCTCCAGCACTCTATCATTCCTTGATTTGCTTTTTTTGTGCTTTTCACACTAGTGCTAAAGTACACAGTACTACACCCACTTACAAACAACATACACAAATACTGGTTTCCCCCCCTTTTTTTTAGTTCCAAAAGGAGTAAACAGTTATAAAGCTGAACAGTCAACACAGGTGTTATGACAGTGTCTCTCGCAGGAGCCCCGGGCCCCTCTCCAACCATGATCAGAGGGGTCCTTTTTCCTTACCCCAAAGATCTTCCCCACTGCACTTCTCGAAGGACAAATGGGGAAGAGCAAAGGAGGAGCAGAGTTGGCCAATACTGAAGTACTGAAAGGCAGAGGTGACTCCCCCTTGATATGCCAGGGTGAAGAGTGGTTACAACTGTGGGGTGGGGGGCGGCGGTCCCAGAATAGTTGCCAGCCCTTCTGGTCTCCCCTGGAGAACCGCCCCTTGGATCAGCAAAGCCGTTTCCCTTTGCAGGTGACGAGTGACCTTACTAAGAAGACTCGCAGGGCCATCCTGTCTCCAACCACAGCACACACCCCCGGCCTCTTCCCCTGGGAGTCTTTGACTGAGCACGGGCCCGTTGCTGCTTCCAGTGGATGCAAAATGGAGCACAAGACTCCCCAATGGTGCACTGCAAGCAAGCTTTGCACATTTGTGAGCAAGTGAGAGAGAAAGAGAAAGAGAGAGAGAGAGAGGAAGGATAAGCTGCCGTAAGTTAAAACAAAGATCACAACAGATCACAATGGCATCTAGGTAGAGTAAGGGGCCAGGGAGAGCAGGAGGGAGATTCCCAGTTTGGAGTTTTCCCAGGAGAGTCATAGAGATGACAGAGAAAGTTGGATGCACCAAGCTGGAGAACCATCGGCCTTGGGGGGGGGCATGGTCTTCTCTGGTCATGCAAGCTGCCTTGTGTCGGACATCTACACCCATTTGTGTGCATGCCCACATGTATGCACACACATACACATGCAGGCACACAAACACATTCACGCACACACACGCACATACATAGAGAAGAACCGAATGCAGTTCTGTGGCTCAAGTTACTCTCCCACTGACATGCACTCTGGGCGTGGAAAAGAAAGGGAAAGAGAAAGAAGCGTGGCTTCCTTCAACGTGGTCCCCCTCTCTCCTCCTAAGGCCCATCACAGAGACGGCCATATGCCATCCAAAGCCACCCTCCCCAGCACTAGAAACATTTGGGGATGAAATTAAAAAGTGGGGGTGGGTGGGTAAAAGGAACACAAAGGGAGGGAAGCAGGCAGAGATCAGCACACCAGAAGGCTCCTGTAAAGATTTGACTTTGCCAGAGAGCGGCCCCCAGGGGCCAGCAAAGCGGGGAAAGGAGGGCGATCCGGGCTTATAGGAAGTTGCTATAGGCAGAGAGGCACTGTCCCAAGACGTATCGCCTGGGGGAGGAAAAGGAAATATCGGTGGATGACAGCCATCGAAAGCAAAGCAGACCCCTGTCTGGGTTGAGCAAAGAGGCTCCGTTCCCTCCAGGAGAACCCGGGAAAGGGGCCGTTGCTTTCCCCCCCCAGGGGCTGCCAACCGTTAATTTAATTTAGAGTCTTGATGGGGATGGTGTCCCATAGCTTATTTCTACTGCAGGGCGAGTAGAAAGTACTTCGTGTGGGCCGCCTCCATGGCGGTGGTTCAAGATGGCATCAAAGCGCCAGGCCTTCGACAGGCAGAGCCGGGCATTATTATGTTCTGCCTGCGGACCTGGGGCAGCGTCGTCCGGCTCCGTGAGGTGGGTGGACGAATGGAAAGAAGAGAGTGACCGTTCCAGTGAGGAAGGAAAAAAAATGTGTTAGATCCTTCGTTGGCCTAGGGCCTCTTCCTCCTCACTTGGCAAGCAGGAAAGGAAGAGGCGCCACGAACTAGCCCAAAATCGCAGGATGCAGTTGTGTGTAGCACCTATGGGTTTCTTCCCTTGACCTTGGCTACGTACGTTATGTTCCACTCAAAAGAAGCTGCAGGAGCCACCCCGTGGCAGGCGAATCCCGTGGCACCTCCATCGAGGCCCGGCCCGAGGACAAAGCCAAGAATCCGAGCCCAGCAAGAAGGCGTCCGGCGACCCCCTCAAAGGGGGGCCAGGAAGCCGCAGAGTGCCGACGACCCATCGCCAACGGTCACTTGCCCTGCACCTGCACGCTGGCGTATTCCGAGCTGGCTTCCTCTGGTTTCGGGGCGGGTCTTTTGGGGGCTTTGCTCAGGTGCACCATGTCCAGATCGGCATACGTGACGTCGTCATTGGGAGCCGGCTTGGCGGGCTGGATGCTGGCGTATTCCGTCTGCTGGCTGATCTCCACCACCTGGCTGGGGCTTTTCTTAGGAAGATTATTAGTGTTTAAGTCCGCATAGGTGACATTGTTGGGATCGGGCTCCTGAAGGAGGACAAGAAAGGAGAAGAGGAGGTGAACCAGAAGACAAGCGCAAGGCTGGTGGGTTCCTGCGCACCAAAAAACCCAGTGGAGATTTGTCTATTGCCGGCAAGAAGCCTCTGTAAGAGAGATCATTTCTACAGACATTAACAATTGCAATAGGATTTTAAGCAGGACACGTGAAGTCTCAATTTTCCAGTCTCCTGAGAGATCAAGAGAGCTTTGATGGGCTCCTGCCGGCCCGCCCAGGAACAGTAAGAACTAGAAGGTGGCTTTTGTTTGTGGCTACATCTCATGGGAAGAGAAGACTCCCTGAAAAAGACCCTGATGTTGGGAAAGTGTGAAGGCAAGAGGAGAAGGGACGACGGAGGACGAGATGGTTGGTCAGGGTCACCAAAGCGATCAACGTGATGGTTGGACAGTGTCATCAAATCGACCGATATGACTTTGACCCAACTCCAGGAGCCAGTGGAAGACAGGAGGGCCTGGCGTGCTCTGGTCCATGGGGTCACAAAGAGTCGGACACGACTAAACAACTAAACATCAACTCATCTCACCCATCCCGCACTCCAACTTGTGAGCGTAACGAATGCAGAAAGAAGAATGGAAGTAGTTTTGCCTTTTAAGGCGAGTTTGCCGCCTGCCGCGTTCTGCTGTTCTTCCTTTCTTCTCCTTCCCCAAAATGTAACTTGCTTATGAAAGGGCCCAGCTGCGCTGCAGCCTGGCACGCTTTATTTTTAGAGGTTTTCTTTTCAATTGTGTGATTTTGCTGAGCACGACTCTCCG